ACAAGTTGACGACCTGATGCATCAGCTCAAGGCTGGATTCGTGGTTGAAAGGATTTTTGAAGGCCATATGAGGGGGTTCACCATTTGACTTCACTCATTCATCCAGACCTCTAAATTACTTAGGTTTTGTCTTTGTGCTTTCTTTTTGTTTACTAGGGTTCCGTTTTGTTTCTTTCTTTATTTTTGTTAGTTAATCCAACAGCCTGATGACCAGCCATGGATTTCACTTCGACAATTCGAAATGCGAGCTCTCAAGACCTCAGCAGCTGCTAAATCTGGGACAAAGAAGGCCCAGAAGAGAAATTGATCGATCTGGCAGGTCACCACTGCGGAGGCCTCATATACAAATCTTGAGTCACAGACAACAAGGTGCCCTGCGGAATATTCCCAGAGCCACTGAAGATGATGATACTTCAGCAAGAGAGCCCAGCCGTGTGCATCAAACACCCTTGCCAAGGAGAAGGCCCAGATCAGCACCTCAGGAAGAGTTTTATCAAGGAACTAGGGCCAAGCACAAGGCAAGGCCATATTCTGCACTCCCCAGAGTTCCTAGAGCTTCCGCAGCTTCCAGGCAAGGCCCGGAACAGAGACATGGCGCCCCTGGAGCAGGAGACGCGGATATTGAAGAAGATTTAGGTGTCTGGAACGAAAGGCCCCGCAGATCAAGCCGTTCACCATCAAGACCCCGCAGAGATCGGTCTTCATCCTCAAGACCCCGCAGAGATAGGTCTCGCAGTGAAAGACCATCATCAGCGCGCAGGAACCGAAGGGGTCCGTCGATGGAACAACGCATGGAAGCAGAGGCCAATTTACAGCGCAGGCAAAGACAGATGCCCAGCACGCTTGTTGATACTGATGTCAGTATGCCTGAAAACCTGGATCAATTTCAAATTAATTGGGCCGGCTTTCAAGTTCAAGGGTTTGAACTCCCTAATCAAGCCCAGCAGTATCTTCAAGCCATTGCATGTGCTTGCAAAATTCAGTGTGCAGCGTGGCGTCTTGTTGGAGTATGACTATGGGCCAGATCGAGGCCTGTGTACATGGGACAATCCTGATCCCAAACATCTTTATCCTTATTATTGGCTGACATCGCAGGACCTGACAATCAAGGATGCTCCACTGCCCTGCAAAGAAAATCAGATGCTCTTCTGGGCACATGCTACAACAGTGGGTGGCATGCATTCTATTTTGAAGTTCCGCAACATGGCGCCAATGGAGGCACATGACGTGCCTAACAACAACACGTTCTATGCCATAGGCCACCCCATGCATGGTGGACCCGAGGACGATTGGTCCATTGCAAGGGTCATCCGCAACGCAGCAGCATCGGCGAAGAACGTGGCCTAAGTCATCATATGTGGCACTGCGTGGGGATCTCTCAAAAAGATTTCCGGGGGATCATGGGTGACGTCGGTCAAGGCAACAGTAGACGACCAAGCAACCGATGTAACATTGCTGGGGTTGCCTGTTCTGCAAACATGAGTCCCCCAGGCACAGCCGCAACATTGTTGCACGAGTACGCCAGAGCCTCTGGAAGAGCCATTGCCAGATCATCGAGAGCCGCAGCAGCCTTGCTTAATCGCTGAAATCTATTTTATGGTTCATTGCATTGTAGGAGTTCGATGCAGTACATTATTATTCTGCAACTTGGATGCTGCCTTGTGCCATCCAACAATCCCATCAGATTCGACAAGCGTGTCAGGTCCAGAGAAAAATGAGAAGCAGCCGCCCTTACTACTTTTGCATGTTTGCATGTTTTCTTGCGGGTTGCAACTTGTGCACTTGAGCCTTCAACACTTACATGTTTGTCTCTTTTGTTCTTTTGGTTCCAGAGTGACTCAACATTTGGTTGTGGAACTTTTCGGTAATTCTAGATTCTTGGTTTTGTACCCTCTAACGTCTCGGAGCCATGGAACGCACAGTCATGGGCCAACAGTGGATGGCAACAGTCAGGTTGGGAAGATTCAGGAAATCAGTGGTTTGAGACAGCCGTCAGTCAACTCTTGGCAACAAGCAAAGTGATGCAGAGTTGCCATTGCGTTTCAAGCCAAGCAAGAACTACCTGGATGAAACCTTGGTATACAGAAGCACTCTCAAACGCTACATTGAGCCATCAGCGTGGTCCAGAGCCAAGGGTATTGCAGGTAAACCTGTGCAAGACATCAAATTGACAGATCTCATTCACAAAGGAATACAAGAGTGGATGGTCAGAGGCCTCAGTCATGGGAAGTTTACAGGGGTCGTCCTCGCCAAGTCCATTGCAGAGAGCGTGTTGACGGCACGGTTGCTGTCAGCTTTGCGCGAAAAACGAGTGGACATCGATGAGACCGTCAAGGCCATGCACAGGGACAAGACCAAAAAGGCAATTCCAGATAAAACAAGCGAAGCAACCAAGTTCATTCAGCCTTTGGTCGATGCTGTCATGGAGAACCTGCAGCCATTCCTCGTCGCCATGGATCAAGCGGCTACAAGCTCAGGTGACACCAAGGAGTTCCAGGACGTGCAGCAGGACAAGGCCAAACTCCGACAGAAGCTCCAACAAGCAGGTATTCCAATCACACCGGTCAAGCGCAAGACCCCGCAAAAGGACACGGAGCAAGCCATGTCAAGTCCAGAAGATGAGGATCCCAGCCAACCTCTACCAGTGCAGACACAGGCCCCAAAGAAGAGAAGGATCAACAATGAAGGCAAGAGCAAGGCAGACATCCTCGATGACCCTAATGACGTATTGTCGGATAAACTTCCCAACAACATCGGCAACACCAAGGCATGGGTGTCCAACATTCGCAAAGACCTCAGCTCTACGCAGCAGAAGCAGTTCGATGCCCATGTCAACAATATGCTCAAGGTCATTGAGGACAAAAAGTTCAAGAAGGATGAGCTGCAGACCATGGCCACAAGATGGGCCTACCATTCCACATGGTCAGCACAGCCACCCCCAAGAACTTACAAAGCGTCATTGCAGTGGCTACATGGTACAGCTTGTGATTGATCCAGAAGCTGCTCAACAAACCTCGGCATTTTGCTGAGGTATCAAACGCTGTGGATGAGCTCCAGACAGTGATGCAGTACTTCCAGTTGTTATTATTGAAATCCCTAATGTCAGTAAGGAAGTTATGATGTGGTTAGTTGGTTTAATTTTTCTGGTTTTCTTTTTCACCGTTCTACCGCAACAGCGACTGCGAAAAAGCTTCGTGTGAAGTTAAATCAAAAAGGTTGCATTCTGAACTTTACACTTTCTCTAGGTTTCAAAGAGAGAATGCTGTGTATGCCAAAGTTATGCTTCCCACATTCAAGAACGGTTTCGCGCAGCTTCATTCCAAGCAGTCAATCATCTACATAGGATCGACAGGGCTTAAACCAGCGCAGCACGAGTTCAACAGATTGGCGAAAATACGACAGTTGCAAAATGGTGCATTGCCGAAAGTGGAGGTGGCCATCAGATATTGGGTGGACAATGCCAATTATGGTCGGTTCGTTACCTTGACGCTTAGCAGTCACAGTGGGTACCGTGATGCATGGGCTGCAGAACATGCTACAATCCAGGCATGGCAGGCATGGCAGGCTCGTCTGAATCACCCATTCATCGCTAAGTTCTTGGTGAAGAAGGCCCATGGACTTGTACCAGCCAAACAGAGACCATCAATGCAACCTGGCAATGACACATTGGGCATCAAGATTTTCAAAAAGATGCGGCGCAGACTACATCATCAACGTTCTCCAGAAGCTCGACTTCTACCTCAACTACCTCAACTTTGGGAGTTCCTTTATGACTTGTCCTCGGACACACTTAAAGAATATGAAGCAAGTAAGATTCTTCGCAGTGGCAGGTATCCGTCAGAAATTGGATTGGTTCTATTCAGGCTTGCAAACCATTTGGAACAACCTTGGAGGTCCAAGTGTGCAGCAAGGCTCAAACAGATTCTTCAGATCAGGAATCAATCCATTCCCAAGAAGAACCACCCTCTGAAGATGACTTTCCTTGCTTGTGAAGGATTTCGAGTTCAACTTCGACAATTCTTACAACAAGAAGTGCTGCAAGCACAACCTGTATTGATTCCATATCACCTTCCTAGAAAAACATTGGAAGCCCTGCCAACCAAGGTTATTCGACTGCTTTGGAGCGATGTCAAAGACTTGCCACCGCCATCAAGCACATGTTCCTGCGCAGAATTTCCTGCAAACATCCCAGAGCGGACAGTATTGATGGACATGTCGTGACAGGATTGGAAACATTGACCTTGCCATATCACCTTCGACACTTCCAAGATGTGGGTGGAGCCAACGCGTGCTTCGACAAGAAGGTCAAGTTCATGGAGCGGTCTATTCAAGCAATGGACAAGTGGATGCAACATCATCAATTCCCAAAGTGTACAGGAATGAAACAAAGATTCCGACAATTCTTGAACAGTCAATGGCAGCAACATCTACAGTCGCTCAAGCAGAACCCAAGGTACACAGTTGGTAGCTTCAAATATTTGAAGAATCTTATTCCTTCAGATTTCGTGGTGCGCAATGAAATCATGCAAACAACCATACTATGGTGTATTGTTCCCAGCAGTACAATCGTGCGGCCGTCAACTCGAGGTCAGATCCTGGGGTGTTTACAGATTTGCAAGAAAGTCCGGAACAACTCAAACGTACAATGGAACAGCACATTCCAACATCCCTTACAAAGCAACAGCTCAGGTTGGTCGACTTCAGCAAAGCTCTCCCCTACGGCTACATCATGATGAAGCGCAAAAAGCAATGGAACAAGGGAAGAACAATCGTGGCGTATGGCTCCACTTGCATTGGTAAGATTCTCAAACTTGCCGCTCTCGCAATTCAGGAGTTGTTGAATTCCACTTGGCCATGTCATTTTGGCAATCGACTTACCCCGGGCATTTGGAGGGACATTCACCAATTCTTTGCGACCGCTGCGCTGGACGATCACTTTTCGTTTCTCAATCATGATTTGGTTGGATTCTTCGACTCTATTCCTCAGAGCACAATTCTTTCTTCACTTCAGTCTTTAATTCAGGACTTTCTTGATACTGGTGGTGGCAAAACCCTCATGGTTGACATGCATTCCAAGATTGGGCCTGTGCAGGGAAATCCAGATTCAGTGTCAAAGCCAATCAGGTAGAGCTCAACATGAACCAGCTGATGGACATCATTAGTTTTTCTTTTTCTTCAGGATGCTTTACCGCCCTGGGAAAGTGTTATCGACAGGTGCAGGGAACATCTACGGGAATTCAAGTCAGCCCCATTTTATCTTCCCTCTCCATTGTGGCTTATGAACGTGCTTGGCTACACACTCACGAGTCATCCCTTGCAAGATATCCCACACAACTGCTTGTTTTACGGTATGTGGACTGTCGTGCAATTTTCATCCCTCAAGACCTTCTTCAGTGCCCTGGACTACACAACTTGGCTAGTCTTGATTTCTACCCCAAACCTATTCAATTGGAAGATGAGCAACGCAATGAATTCCTTGGTTTTCACATTGATGCTTCCTGTCGGGAAGTCAGCTACCTGATCAAACCTGAAACGTGGAGATACCGTTTGCCATGCTCCGCGGGCAGCCGCCAGCTCAACATGTCCGGAATCAGATCAAGACGATCATTCTCAAGTTTGCCTTTCCCATGTCAGTCAACAGCCAGCAGTTACAAGACCTTTGTCAACTGTACAGCAACTTAGGATTTGACGTTACTTGCCAATGAAAATTGAGTGAAACCACCATCCTTGCATTGATTGCAATTGTTGCACTTTTTCTCACTTGCTCCTTTTGGTGTAGTTGGCTCCCAGTTTTCTTGTTCGAGTAGTAAAGGCCAGGAACGCCATGAAAAAGGTGACTTCTTCAGGACATAATCAGTCAGACGCGGCCTGTTCCAGCACAGACCGTCCAGACAGATTCGCTAATGTCACCATGCCGGAGATCCTCAGAGACGACCCGGCTCACAGACAACTGCTTGAGACCGGTTCGGAATTGATGCTGCAACAACATTTGGCGTACAATGGATATCTCACGGCCAGCGAGCAGACGAGATGGAAGAACACCATTACCAATGCTCTGGCAGACAAATCTGTCAACGACGCATCAAACTACCTGCTCGACAAACTCCGAGAACCTCTTAGGTCCAAAATGATCAAGTATCTGTGGGAGAACATGGAAACTTTTCAGCGACGCAAACGACCTTATGCATTGTGGCAGGTGCGTGCAAGTGGTTGTACATGCGGATTCAAGCCAGCTCTTGACCATCCTTGGTGCACATCATGTCGAGTTTTTGTGCTTACCGGTTATTTAGTCGGATCAAGCAAGCAGGGTTTAGCTTTTAGCTTTTTGTCTCTAATTCTTTAGTTGGGGAGCAATTCTATGTTTGGTTGTGCCAGGCCGCAGATGAAGACTTGCAGCGAGCAAGGGACGCCATTCAGTTTCAGATGGAGCTCGTGGAGAACCAACTGAGAACAGAACACGAAAGGCTGTGGCGAGAATTTCCACTTCCCTGCATTCAAACCTGCCAGCATGAAGGATGTCAGAGACTTTGTGGTCACAAATCCAATCATCCAGATCGAGAGATTCAGCACCAGGCCTCAGGACAACACTACTGTGAGTTGCATTATCGCAACAATTGATCGACAACGCTTGCCTGCCTGCAACAAAAGGAGATGCGAAGGATTCCTTTTTCTTTTCTTTCCTTCTTTTCCTCTCTTTTCTTTTCTTTCCTTTTCTGGTCACTTTAGGTCTTTGGTTTCTCTTAGTAATTACCCGCTTTGCGGGATGGTGTGTGTGGGACCTCCGAAATTCCAAGGATCTTTTAAAGTAAACATTCAGCTCATTCGACAACATTTCAGCAGGCGGACCATCCATTTGCTGTGCGCGATGGTCCAACGAAGCGGCCACAGCAAATGCGGATATCAGGGCTGATCACCCTGACGTACCTGCAGATGATAATGTTCTCATCTCTTAGTATGCTGTATAGTTCCGGATTGTTGATGCTCCCACTAGTGCCTTGTAGTTATTCTAGAACTACTTTGGAGAAATGCAAACATGTCAGTTTGGTGCAGTGCAAAGCAGCTTGGATAATCGCAGACATGTCAGTTTGATGCAGCAACTTGGAGAATTGCAAACATGTCAGTTTGGTGCAGCAACTTGGGCATTATTCAGGTTCGTGAAATTCCATAACCGGTTGAGACCTCCAACAAACCTTTTGAATACTGCGTTGATGCAGATTGGGAGCTGAGATTCCTTCAACTCAACTATGTTGGGTTGAAAACATTTCAAATGTGTGCACCCGGATTTTAAGCTAAAGGTTTTTGGACTTCATCATTCTCATGTAAGGCGGTGAGAAGTGATGCGAACGCATGCATGTTGCTCAACTTTCTTTTCGTGATCGCAGGGGGCACAGGCCTGTCTTGGATACTTGTGTCAACGAAGCTCTTCCAAGACAGGGGAGGGGTGGTCTGATCAACCACCTGTACCTGCTTGTACGCTTGTACAGAAGATGCGTTGCAGCAGCCTTCCGATGGCTTGCAGTTTTCCTTTGCAATGCGTGAGCCGTTTGAAGAATCTGAGAAGGACAAGGGTTTGCAGGATGGACCATGGATGCATGTCTGGACATGTTGCATATGCTAGAGTCTGTGAACAGGACGTGCGAAACATGTGAGTTTGTGCAATGTTGGTTTTCCATTTATGTGTTATCATGGTATGCCAGGCCCATGTACGTAGGACGTTGTCCCGAGTGTACAAGCAGGTCCCCATAAATAAAATCCTCGAGATGTGAAGCCAATCGATACAACCTTTGCTGGAATTTGTGCTTGTCTGGACAGGTTCCTTGTTTCCCAGCTATTGAACGTCGTCGCCGATGCCGGCGGTGTGCGGCTCTCAAAACAGCTAGGCTGCAGAGTTCTTGGACGTCATGATTCGCATTGTCTTGTACTAGGATTCCCATCAACATGAGAACTGATGTTAGTTGGCTCGAAGCTTTTTCTAGACCTTGAGAGATGTTGCTGAAATGATATTTGATGTAGGAGCTCTCCTTTTGCTGCTTTTGTTCGACCTGACGTCAACTTGATCACACAGCTTGCGCAAATATGTTCATGCTTTAAATCCTGGGCGCCATGTGCCGCATCGAGCAGCCTGCATAAGCGCTATGACTTCGTCTTCCGAGAATGACTCGGAGGTCTCTTCTAGATATTCCAGGCCAGTTTTACCGAAGGCAGCAATTGTGAGCAGTGATACTTGCTGGCAGGAGCTACCAATGCGGAAGATCTAGGTCTCGGGGCTCTGATGCTGAACATGGCGATGGCGCTCTGTGCTCCTTGCTTGCGCATCAGCCCGACTTGCCCAATGTCAGCTGCAGTCACAACAGGGAACCCCAGTTCGGTTCAGTTCGGTTGGGTTGGCAGGAATGGGTTGGAATGGGTTTTGTGGTTCAAATCAGTTCGGTTCGCAGCCGGTTCGGTTCCGGTTCTATGCATTTCGGGGGGTGGAAGGTGTATGGCTACCTCGGATTTGAGGCTAGAGGCTTTCAGGCGAGATTCTCCAAGGATCGCAGGAACATATGGGCTCTGTCCTCTTTAACTGGGTGATAGCGGATGGATCTCCTGCATGGTCTGGAACCCTCCCCCGCGTATTTTGACTTGAACCTACATGCGGCGATTGTGCGCACCAGCATCGAATACTTGCATCAGAAAGAATTACGCATTATCTGTGGTACCACTGCAACGGTGGAATTCATGCAAGATGGCCGCATCCGAAAATCTTGAAACGAGATGAAACGAGGGAGGGTATTGGTTTTAAGTTTTTTGGGCCTGGAAAGCTTAAATGAGTACTCCCCCGCGGCACCGGGGACTGGAGAGCTCCTGGTTCCTGTTCAGGAGAGGAGGACGCGGGAGTACTCATTTTATTCTTTTCGTCCTCAACATGTTGCAGGCCCAGTCTCTGCGTGTCATTGCAAGCTTCAGCCGGCCAGCGAGCCTGCCCCCGCCTGACCCCGTAATGATGTAATATTGTGTAGGTAACTGCATTATTTATACTGGTAAATTCCGGTCGTTTCTATGAGTAAAATTCGGTTGGGTTCCACAAGCTTCTTGTCACAATGCTGGTGATCGCCTGGATCTGGCACAAGACAAGCGAGGCTTCGAGGATGACGACTCAACGGATTCAGATGGTGAGTCCGACGGGAATGACTTCTCTCGCCAGAAGTTTAAGGACACCGGCTTTGCAGATCTGCGTGACGTGGTTCGCTTGTGGGCCTTCTCACAGACTGCATCGTTGCGGGATTCAATTTGCTTGCCTGCAAGATGTTCCAGGACTTGAAAAGCCAGAGAAGGAAATTCAAACAGGAAGAGGCCAGCCGGGAGACCGCCGTGAGGGAATGCATTTCAAAAAAGGTCTCGTCCTTCAATGTCAGGTGCCGACCGCAGGCTAGCGTTCTCTCCCCTACCACTGTCATCCGCCCAGCCACCCCCCCTCATAAAGCCCAGACCTTACAACCGGAATTCAGTCTCACAGGAGTTTCAGTCATGAGAGGGATTCTCACTTGCCGGAAGTAGGAGGCATAGGGCGACCAGGGGCAATTCATTGTGAACCTCATCAATTCAACCTATTCCCTATCCAACTCATTATATTATTCAAGTTACTGCAGTATCATCACGAGGTACTGAATTCAATTAACTTATCCGACTAATGAATCGAATCATCAAACTGTTGTGTTTCATAAGGGCAGTTGTACGACGAAGTAGCAATGCAAAGCGCCAAGCAGTTCTTATGGTAATTATTTCTGATGAAGATAACAGAAACGGAAGTTCAGCGACTCTAGTCTGGCCTCTGAAAACGTATCCCCTCAACAATCATTGATACGCTCCCCGCTGATTGCTGGTTATTGGGCAGTCGGGCACCTCTCCTCATCAAAAAAGGCAGCTGCAGGCACAGCTCCTGCAGGATCTCGCAGTGATCTCGCAGACATCCTTCTGCAGCCTACATGGCTGCACATGCACCTGACTCCTTTTGCTGTGCCCAGTAGCCGTCATAGCCGGAGCACGCAGGCAGATGAGCGCAAGCACCTGAAGCGTATTGAAGCAGCGTATGAGGATCGAAAGGAGCAGTTGGAGGCAGACATCAAGATTCTCGAGGAGGGCTGCACTTGTGTCATGTCCTACCCGCTGTTCCAGCTACTTTAGCTCTCAGGAGCCCTAGATCCGAAGTCTTGTCCTGGTAGCTGCTAGCTTTTCACATCTTGCTTGGCAAGCTGCGGCAGGTCATAAATCCCGAACTACACAAAGAAGAAGGGATATTTACTTACCGTCCTAGGAACAGGAAAGCTACAGTAAAATTGCTACGCCCCACCGCCTGCAACAGCAGAGATCCGGCCTGCAGAAGAAGCAAATCTGGCGTGCACAGATATGACCAGGGAGATCCAAGGAGTCACAAATCCAACGATATGCCAGTCAAAGCATGAAAGGTTCCTGAAAACACAGGCGAAGAAACGTAATGACTCAATGGGCAATGCTGCCCTGCGACAGCCAGAAGAGGAAGCACGCCCGGATGTGTGAACCAACAAACGCTGCTGTAGGATTCTGAAATTTGCTGCCTGAAGCGATTGCTTGCGCAACACAGGATAATGGGAAACCTGACGCAGACTAACAAATGACATCCAACTACGAGTGCAATGCTTGGAAAAGGAGGGTTTAACAGATTCACTTGAAGATGGTGGTGCTCAATGTCATAACTGTCAGAAGCCAATGCAGATTAGATTGTCTTTTCCCCTTTGAACCCTCAGGACGAACTCGAGGAAGAGCTCCGAAAGTTGGACAAGCTTGAGCTTGACCAGGCCGCATGTGCCGTTGCAAAGCAGAAAGCAGCAAGCACAAGCTCAGTGATCAGGAGCAGGTCCGATCGTTTCATGGACCCAGGCGGCTGCATTTGCATATTTGCCAGCGGGAAAGCCTGCATGGTTGCCTTTTGCGAAAGGTGCCTGCGATTTGTGGACGGTAACGTGTTTACGGTCGTCTCCACCGGCGTTGTGGTCTTGAACGTTGTCGCGCTGGTCAAAGAGATGACCGATGGAAGGCCTGTCCTTGGCAAGGCCAGTTTGTAAGTAGCCTTGGCCATTGTCAGGTACAAGGACATCCTGTTCTGGACGGATCAGGCGAACACACGCTGATATCGCAACGCTCAGCAAGCAGAGCTGGTGAAGATAAACAGAGGGGCGTGTTGAGAGTACGAGAAGTGGAGGTTTGGGCGCCAGGCTTTCCTGACGTTTTACATTGTCGAGCTGGTGCTGAGGGGTCTCCTCTTGCAAAAGGATCTGCTTCGAGGACAGTCTCTAGTGACTCTAGTGCGGAGGCTGCAGAGCAATGCGCCAGAGACAAGCGGGTCTTTTGCTTTGTAAGGACCATGTCGAGAGGAGCCTTGGTAGCAGCAGTGACTCTGGTCTTGAGCTTCCCTTGCGAACAGCATGCAGTAGATGTCAGCAAAGTTCCAGGACTTTGACCTGTGCGCCAGAGCAAAACTTGTGAAGACTGAAGACTTATGTAGCTTATGTGCGCACGCTGCGGATCCATACTGTACTGGCTGAGGAAACTGTCTAATATGAAGCCAGTGAGCAGGATGCTTCTCGCTAGTCGCCAGGTCTGGTGGAACTGGTTGGACATATTCATCGTGCTAGCTGCAGGGACTGCAAGAGTGTGCTGAAGCGTCAACCTTGCCTCGTCTACGGTCTTTAAGAAGCATAAGAGCTTGCAAGGCTGGGATTTATGACCAGTGGATCCTGACTGCCATGAATACCACCTCGGTCCTTGTTAGCGCGGTTCGCTTTTTCCGGCTGCTTCGCTTGATCCGCCTCGCCAAAGTGGCCCGTGCGTTCTTCAAATCCGATTTGAAGTGGGTAGAGGAGGACTGTTTTCAAGGCAGGTGGGTGGGAGCTAAGCCTGCTAAGCTTCACACTTGCGTTAAGCTTGCTTCAGCCGCCTCTGCTTAGCAATGATGAAGCACAGCTTTCGACTGTCGTTGATGCTGGGGATGTTCACCCTCAACCAGCCGTTCTTCCCCTGCAGGCTTCATTTTGGCTGCAATCTTAGTGAACAGCATACTCTTGGGAGTTCAAACAGACTGGCCGGACTTCTTCTTGTGGAATTGTCTTGAAGAAGTGCTGTTGGTAATATTTCTTTTCGAGCTGCTGGTTCGTATTAAGCTGCACAAGTGGAGATTCTTCACTGATTGGCACGAAGTGGGATGGAACCTTCTGGACAGCATCATCGTCGCTGTGCCCTGGTGTACAAATTCATATGCAAGGCAGCTGCGGGTCAGAAGTCAGACTGTGATTTGCAGGGCTTGCTTGATGTCAGGCTGCTGTGATTGATCAATGGATGGTGCCCCTATGTAGCTTCGCATCAGCTTTGATAGGCCAGAAGCCGTGCATCAATTTCCTTGGAGATGTAGATCTGCGATGGCAGTACAATGACTTTGCTTCAAGGTGGCCAGAAGGAAACTGAGGCGACTGAGGGATCTGAGGACATGGCCAGCTTCTTACAGATACTCATTACCCTCAGACTGCACAGTAAGCATGGGCATTGTCTTGGAGAGGCCAATCTGCCGGCATGTCATGGCAGTGGAGATCACAAGTTCTCGCCTTTTACATGCAGCCCAGTGCATCTCAGGGGAACATCTTCTTGCTTCTGCGGATGGCAAGACTTTTTCGCATTCTTCGCTTAGCTCGATTGATCCATTCACTGACACCGCTATATAATCTGGTATTGGGACTCTCGACAGGATCACATGACTTTGCTTTTTGCTGTCTGTTTCTGGGCTGCTAGCCCAGCCCATGTCAGCTGAGGTGTTGCATACGCCATGCAGGGCATGTTCTGGGTGTTGGTTTTGACAGTTCTGCTCTTGTACGTTTGCGCAATACTCGCTGTGGTGTTGATTGAGAAGGGGCACCTCGGCACGCAAAGACGTGTCGGCCGTCTGAGAATCCTGGGGGTACCTCCTGTTCATGAATCTTGTTCTGCCAGGCTGATCTTCTCAGATGATGGTGTACCGGCAAATATCAAAGGGATCTTCTCGGGTGTTTTCGAAGCCATGTTTATACTTTTCCTGGTCATGAACGGTGAGTTTGATGCTGTGGAAGAGATCCTGGACACAATTCCAGCGACGCAAATGGCTTGTGCACTTTTCATGATCATTTCCAACTGGGCTATCCTTGCCATTTTTACTGCAGTCGTCAGCGAGAATATGATTACAACTGTGGAAGACAGGCGAAGAGAGAACGAGGAGGCGCGCGATGCCTAAATTCTGCCATAAAGCCCACCCGCCCCGATCATCCCATTCGCCCCCACCCCACCCTCGCCACCAGCGCCTCTGGCCGCTTTCCCCAGGTCCAGAACAAGGACAAGACTGAGCGATCGGAGGTCAAATTGCCGCTAGCAAAGGAATAGAGCAGGCTTTTGACCTGAACAGACTGGGTTTTCTGCGGCAATCGGCTTCAATTCCGCATCACGCTAAACTGACTACAAGAACGCTGAGCAACGAAAATGACTAGCCTGGTGAGGTTGACTGACGGATTTGTTAATACCCTGACGTCACGGGCAACCTCAGGCTGTAGTTCCCCAGGCGTTTCTATGACTTAATCTTCAGGAACAGGGAATCAGGGCTTGATAATATGTGACAAGTTTGCCATCTCTTCTTGGCTTTTTCTTGCAATACGGTCATCAACTCAGAAAAGAGCTCTTCAATGGTATGGACAAGCGGGAGCCAGGCAAGATCTACGTGTCAGAGCTTTCTGAATGCAAGAGAGCACTTCATGGCGAAGTATCCTGTTTGCTTGGCCTCCTGAACTCTACTCAACTCCAGGTTTCAAAAGATTTTGGATGATGAAGACGAAAACGCGGAGCTGTGCGATGCTGCAGGGATCTCAAGCACAGACCTCAATGACTTGAAGAAGCTGCCTCTTAGCTGTCACTCATGAAGGGTTGTGGATGCCTGACAACGGGCTGCCTCTTATTGTACGCTCTCCTATACCAGGCTGAGTCATTCTCCAGCCGACGGCGGAGAGGCGTACATTGAAGAAAGCACTTTTCTCGAAGGCCGGTGCATGATTTTGGCCTGCTTAAATGCAACATGATGCAACTGCTGTCAGGCCTGCGGAAGCAGAATGACCCTGCAAACGAGCGGTCCATGATGCAGCTCGAAAAGAAGGTCAACCCGCTGCATTTGCCGATATCCTTTGCCTTAAAGTGTGTGACACACTCTTGCAGCTGTCAAATATGTGAGCTCTACTGATTCCAAGATTATGGCGCTGGAAGACAAACTTCGGCATTGGATGCAAACGCACCAAAAGCAGCTAAGCGGAAAGTAGACACTGCTTTGCCAGGGAAACTTGCTTGATGCTCCAGGGCCGCGCCTGGTACAAGGGTTGGTTGAGCGGTGGTTCAGCATAAAACCTGATTCGAGAGTCTCTCCACGAGGGGTGGCAAGTGTCATCCCCCTTCTCCCCTTACCTTCAAACTGCAGCAACTAGGCGCAGGCCCTTTCAGCCCCAGGCCCCCATCCTCAAAGGTGTGCGACCACGATCCAAGGTTTGGATACTATAGCCTTGCCAGTCCGAAAAGAATACCGATGGGGTGAAGACGGCGCTGACAACCTGACCGGAAGCATGTTGAGTTTGCTACAGAGCTTGCTCCCAGATCTTCAAGGAGGATGTCCCACCTCGAAAAATCTGAAAGCCAGCACTCCGAGCATTCAAGGCCAACGGCAGCTGAGATCAGATTGGAGGGCCGCAGCGTTGACTGCTTCGCAAGCCTAGCCTGCGTGGGCCATCTTGGGCCCATGGTCGGCAAAAGCGTGGACTGAACGTTTACTGAACATTTTAGCGATGTCTTGTTTCACCTGGCTGCCTTACATGTCGAGAAGAGTGGGGTTAGAAAGCGTGCAACGTCAAATGCTTGCACAGGCAGAGCCCAAAGTCTCGCGTCAGTTTTTCGTTCTCAGGTGCATTATGTGTTGAAGGCTCTGGCATCTGTACAGCTGTCCCAGGCACGATCAGGCCGTTGTGAATATCGTCTTGCAATTTTGATTGTAGCCGCGGAAGGTCTGCGATTTTCTGGAGGGTCTGCGAAGCGGGGGTGGACAATTCCAGGCTGAAATCGGAAGAAAAGGTGCTCATTGGTCTTAATACGTGCTGGCAGGATTTGACGAAATTGACGGCCATAGTGGGACAGGACACATCCGGTTTATGTGGCATGGCACTGGTTTTGAGCTCCCATGAACTCTCCGTGCAGGTTGGAGGATTGACCAGGCTCATCCGAACGCTCGATAAGCTGCAGGCTAAAGCAGCCTTCACCCAAGCAGGAGTGCCTGCCGGAAAATCGACTTTGTCGGTTTGTACAGGATCCCAGCAGGCTCACCGACATTGTTCGCTATGGCGATGCTTTCGCAAGGTGCTTTGCATCAGCTACTCGGCAACCATCTTTCCGAGAAACTCTGTCAGGCAGGGATTGCTGGACTCTGCCGAAGATACGGCCAGTCATCCTGCAGTACTTGCCAAGGTGGGCCAGCCTGGTGTCTTGAATAGGTTTTCCGAAATTTCCTTTCACAATTGCACGTGAGTACCGCGCTGTTTGCCAGCAGTTCGGCTCACGCGAGCGACAAGTGTCTCAACCCCAAAGCGGGGCAGAATCCAATTTCTTAACATTTTTTCGAAATTCAGAGGTTCCATCAAGTAGTGATAGTAACTAGATATTTTTCAGGAGCCCGCAGAGATTCAGCAAGAGATGGATGGTCTTCTGCGAAGTCAACTCGATGGACTAAGCGCATGGGGAATATCAGAGTGCAGGAGCCAGTGTGAACACATTGAACTGTCTTGTAGCCTAGCGCCATCCTCCTGCACGCCGGGTGTAGTGAATGGCGACGCCGCGTGGCAGAAGCTTATTCTGGTTGCTGATACTTCTTGCGCAGCTTGGCCTCACTTAGCTACGTCTCAGACATGGCATTAAGACGCTCTTGATCTGCTTGAGTGTCTGACTAGCGATTCCCTGCCAAGTATACTCACTGGCCGCAATCTATCTAAACCAGCGGTTCGCTGTGTGGCAGTATTTTCTTGAGAACACGAGCCATGTCCAAAGTGTTCTACCAAGTGCCTGCGAGTGAGTTGGCAGCTCCTGACCGTTTTTTTTTTTTTTTTTTT